CTACGTTTAGAACTATATCCTATATAGGAGAGGGCACCTAAGATAGCACTAACTCCCTAGCATACTCTATCCCCTTCCTATCCCTAGTCTACCTATGTAACACTTGTGCATTAATTTTAAGGATTTTCCCTAGGATTAACGTAGTTATAATTAGATTATAGTTATTATTAATTGCCTATTAAAGTAAGCTATTACTATCCCTTGCTATAAAACTATAGACGCCTAAGGTATAGCTACCTTATTTATTTAGTAGGTGTACTAATTTAGACACACTCTAGATACTATTATTTCTAATTAAGGCCCTTAGTTTGTATCTAGTTTCTAGTCTAAGTTCTGTTAGATTATAGGCACTAAAGTTAAGCTCTCTACTACCTACTATAAACAAACTAATAGACAAACTAAGATTATAAATAAGTATATTAATTAGAGACTAAGGCCTTTTATATCCTATTACTAAGATAACTAGAGTAACCTACTACCTATAATAGACTGTGCCTAAAGTACTCTTCTATATTTATCTATTAGCATAGCTCTATATTAGCTCCTCTTTAGTTCCTTACTAAAGCAAAGTTAGAATTAGAAACTAGAAAAGACCCTATCTACTATACTAGAGAAACTAAACTATAAGGACGCCTTATCCCTTGCTACTTAGATGCACAACGCTTAGAAGATTGCTAAAGAAAATATAGAAAGAGCTTAAGACTAAATACGCTCTACTACTAATTGCTATTACTATCTAGTTAACTAGAAGGTTAGTAACTATATTTATCTATCTACTACTAATCTTGCTATTTTATAACCTAGCTAAAAACTATCTAAATAATAGGAAGGTCCCTTTAAGGTATTAGAACAAGTAGGAAACGCGTATCGCCTTTAATTACTACCTAGTTCTAAGATCTATAACGTTTTCTCTCCTAATATACTATATAAAGATCCCTAAGACCTATTACCTAGATAAGAGGCTCTAAAACCCCCTAGTACTCCTATACAAGGTGTAGAGGAATAGGAGGTAGAAGAAATCCTAGCTAGCAAATTATATTAATCTAAGCTAAAATATAAGGTTAAGTAGGTTAGACATAATCCTAATCCTATTTAGTATCCTACCTCTAACTTTATAGGGGCTCCCTATAAATTACAGGTATTCTACTAATAGTATCTAAATTAGCTAGGTCCCCTACGCAGCTTACTAAAATAGATTTAAGCCTAGGAAAAAGGGAAAGAGAACCTAATATTACTTTACAATAATTATACCTAATATTAGAACTAATTTATATCCTATTTAGCTACGTATTACCTATTAACTACTATCTATTACTATTATTCTTGTTACTATTTATTATTATATCCTATTTAGAACCTTAAAGGTTCCTAGGATACTACCCCTAGGAAACCTCTTTATTCTATATCTATCTCTCTATTAGAACCTAGTTTAGACTCTGTATTAGCTAAGATTGCGCCTAGACTATCCTTCTTTGCTAGCTTCTAGATAACTAGTGTAGCAGGAATTAGAGCAGGTGCAGGAGCAGGGATAGGAGCTAGGACTAATTTAGACTCCTTCTTGTGGAACGCTCTTTATCTTAGCCTAGACTAGGAGAAGTTACCTCCTAATTTAGCGCTAATTCCTCCTTAAGTTCTTTAATAGCCCTTGTTAAGCCCTTAACTACTAAGACTATCTTATAGATACTATTCTAAAGCTAATATAAATTAGATATAGCAGTATAATAGGTAGCTATAAGGATTTTAGTAGCCTCTATACCCTTAGTCTAAGTATTAGTAATAGTAACGCACTTAGCTAGGTTTTAGGTAGTTTCTTAAATAGTAGCCTTAAACTGCTTAATATCCTTCTAATAGGCAACTATAGCTTTATTATCCTTATCCCCTTTAGCAGGGTTTCTAATTAGACTATAGTATTCTTCTAGAGCACCCCTAAGGGCAGAGTACTCTTAGCTAATAAAAGAAGGAATCTGCTAGGATTAGTAAAGGAACCCTATTAGACTTAGATACTTACTAGATTATAATACTTATTCTAGGAGATATAGTACTAGCACTTCTTAGAATTCTTTAACTTAAAATTAAAATTATTAAACCTGCCCCTAGCTAGAGCCCTAACTGCTCTTATATAGAGAGCGCGATAAGTAATAGGTAGGACTCCTAGTAGTACTAGTACTAGCATAGCTAAAGGTTCTAATTTAGATTAGTAACTGTTTAATTATATAGATTAAATACTTACTAAATTTTAGATAGATTAGGTTAAATAATTAAAAAATTAGGGATATAGGAATAAGAAAGTTAGTAGGTAGAGGGCTAGTTATAGGCAGGCCAAGGATAGGGGTCTGTGCCCTAGGAAGAAGAAGTAAAGGTAAAGGCAGAGGTAAAGGTGGAATTATTTGCAAAAAGCTCTTCTTTAATAAGGGATCTAAACCTAATCCTAAGGATAGGGACTATCCTTTCTCTATAGGAGGGGGTAGTGTAATAATAAGGTAGAATTGCCTGCCTATTATTCTATGCTAAGTTAGGCCTAATAAAGGCCTGACTTACTAATATATATAGAGAACAGCTTGCCTATAGTTAGGATAGGTATATTCTTCTTGTCCTTTTATACAAGACCTATAGGTGTAGGAATCTTATCCTTTTCTATACAGACGTGCACTCCTATATGCCTTTAAGTCGTATAGGATACCTTTTGGATGCTCTACCTACCTAAGTCGTTATAGTTAATACCCCTGTATAACCTACTATCTAATTAACTGCTAGCTTACTACTAAGTGCCTAATAAAAAGTAGGAGCTCTAGTAAGGAAGGTTTACTAATTATTTACCTTCTAGTAAGGGTAGCTAAAGCTCTATATATATAAGTCTAATCGTAGTAGATATAATCTAATAATCTATCTCCCAAATCATTCCTAACCTTAGTAATCCAAAATTCAATACTATTAATATTAGCTTTTCCTTAAAGGTATTACTCTATATAGTATTAAATAACTAGTAGAAATCCCTCTTAGTAATACTTATAAGCCCTTAGGAGCTATTTAGAAAACTAGATAGTTAAGCTTTATATAAAGCTATAAAGGGAGCAAATACTATAATATTAAGTAGCTAAAGGGTATAAGTGCTATAAGAGGGATATATTATAAGTAGGATCTTATATTTATTATAGTACTTAATAAACTTTATTATTATATAAGATTCTATAGACTGAGTTAAGCGATAAGGAGCTAGTATAAAGTATAAGCTTTAGCTTTTATCTTATAATTAAACACCTCCTTAAGCTAGGATACCCCTAGGGTATAGCTTATCTACCTACTTAGTAATCCTATAAAGAAAGCTTAGTATTATAATAGGTTAAAATCTTATAACTAGGTATCCTATAGAGCTCTAGATTAGGACTAATAAATAAGGGTAGAGGTAAGAGTAGTACTATTAGCGCATATACAAGCTATAGTAGTAATCTACTCCCTATTATTATTCTAGAGTATAGCTCTAATCTTTCTCTACTTATAAGTACTCTTATTAAATATATATTTAGTTTTTAATAGTACTTTAATAAGAAAACCCTTCTTATCTATATTATAGATATACTAACTCTTAATATTATATTACTCTATTTTTTAGTATAAAAGCTTAAAGTATAAGCTATACTTAAAGGTAGAATTAGCTTTAAAGCAGTTATAATTAAGCCTAGTAGCCTAATAAGAGATAAGATTAATATTATAGTAGTTAATAAAGCACTATACCTAATTTTTACCTACTAGATTCCCTATTATTTTAGTTATAAAATTTTAAATAATAGTTTATATAAGGAGTAATCCTTACCTATAAAGCTCTTTAATATACTTTATAAGCTTACTTTCTTATATAGTATTAAGTATTTAATTATTTAGTAAAGTAGTAGTATATACTTACTAAATTTTCTAGTAGTATCTAGATAAGGTTAACTATAAGTAACTATACTTTTCTACTATTTCTAAGTATATAAAATCTTCTCTAAGAGTTAAGGATTTAATTACTACAAGCGTGTTATTAATAGGTGCTATAGTTATTAAGAAATTTAGTGTTAAAAATTTAGTGATTTTAGTGTTAGTGGGCGCTTGGTGGGGGTGGGCGCTCGGTGGTGGATCACGTTAGCGCAGCTTTGGCCTTGGCACGCCTTTAACACCAAGCTATCTTTGTGTACCGGAAGCATCGATAGGAAAATGCGGCGGAATATCGCCAGTACTCTTAAATGGAATTGCTCTTGTCCTCTTTCTACATCTTGCTCTATTTACTTTTTGGGATTACAATATGTCTAATGGTCGTGGCTCGTCAGTGACCCTTCTGACGTCACCCCAAGAACAAGCTGTGAGGACGAGAACTTGATCACCTTTGACAACAAAATCACTGAAACAAGTCTATTGAACACGGGCATGGCCAATTTTATGTTATGAAATGCGTGGCATAATCTAAACGAGCTGCTTGCAATAGTTCGAGCAGGAAGGTAACTACAGTTACTCAGATCTATCTGATTTTCGCGAATCTAGAATGTGATAGTTGACACGAAGGATTGCGAAGATAGAAAGCGATGATCTTGTCACGTATTCATGCTACTGCATCTTCATATTCACTCACGGCGTGGAGCTGTTCCCAATCCCTCTTCGATTACTTAACCGAGACCATTTTCATTCTCTTCTTCTTTCAAACCAACACAACCTGAAGCTACATAGCTATAAGCTGCATTGGAGATGAACAATCAAATGATCAAAGAGTCCCTCAGAGAAAGCGCCAGATGGCCATGGAGACGTTCGAACATGACAGCAATTCCATAGAAGGAAAAAAGATGGAATAGAGCTTCAATGTTTGGCACAGTGGTGGAAAAGGAATAGAGGAATGTATTGGTAGTCCCTCTTGTCATATGCACAGGAGGTCTGAAAGTCGGTTCAGCTCGATCATTCCAAGCTGTTGACCTGTGTTACTCTCAATCGCTACTCATTCAACGCCCTTCGACGCCCTTCTTTCCTTCACCATTTCACTTTTTCTTGCCCTGTGCCTCCGTTGAGCCGAGCTCTCGGATGAACACTTTCGTGACACCATCGGGTACATCGTCCACACCATCCTCAAACCCTGGACTGACACCAACCGCGACGTACTTTCCATCGCTCGAAAAGGCAATAGTCTGTACACTTGCAGGGAACTTCTGGTACTGCCTTATCCTCCTCTTTGCAACCGCATCCCAAAGCGATACCACACCATCTCCGCCGCCTGTCGCAAATGTTCCGTGGATTGGATGGTACGCCAACGCATTAACGGGGTAGACTACATCTTGGCCATCGACAGTTTGCCTGTGGCACTTGAAGGCGTACTTCCGTGACTGCGACTCGTCGGATGGATCAAACCACTCGACTGCCACGCGTCCCTCAATACTTGAACTCGAATATCCCGCGTCGTTGGGCATGCAGGCTACTGCGCGAGTCATGTACTTCATCGAGCTCTCCCTCTGTTGCCACGGCTCTACTGCGACCTCTTCACCTCCACTTCTCTTAGCCACATCGGATAGCTTGTCGAGTTCGTATATGTTGACTGCTCTGCTCGCCATGGCGACAACGAGTTTGGTCGGTGATGCGGACAACGAGAAAGGCTTCGAAGGTAGGCGAACAACGCTGAATTCGCCTGGCTGTGAAAGATGGTGGAGATGTAGTGTGCAATCCCATGATGAGGAGATCAGAAGGTTGTGTGCGGGCGAGAAGAGGACGTTGCGAACGCCTTGCGAATGAGTGGACATGACGGTCTGCGCGCCGCTCTCGAGATCGATCCTCCGTACTTCCCAGTCTAGACCACATGAAAACGCCTCATTGTCATCACGTCCAAAGCAGGCGTCTAGCACTGGCGCGCGGTGCTCGAACTTTTGAAGCAGCTGACCGCCAGGCTCAGAATGGGTGTCGTAGAGGTATACATTGCGATCCCAAGACGAAACAAGTAGTCGCGTAGGGCTGTCTCCTGCGAACTGGACAGAGGAGATGGGCTCTGTAGGGTTTTGCGCAAGCTCGAACTGGCCTGTAGTTGTTAGCTAGGTAGCGGACGATTGCCAATCTTTCGAGGTAGTGGTGTTATCGCAATCGCATGTGCGACCATGTGCAAAGAAGATGATGAAAACTACAAATACAGAGTCGCGAAGGAGTGGCAAGCATTATCGAGCAGAGACAGGCACTTACTGGACATGTTGGCGGCGTTATTGCAAGGGTGGCGTGTGTGTGTCTGTTCAAAGGCAGCAATTGCGATGAAGAGCAAGCTAAGCTTGGTAACTAACTAACGGCGATCGGCGCAGGAACAACATGCGCCGAGACCCCTCTAAGGGCTCCCGAGCTTCCTCGAGGTCCCCCTCACTAACACTTTGGGTCCGCAGACGTCACTCTCTACAACAGCAAAGATGCCTTTTGCGCAATTGGTGATAGGCCCACCAGGCTCGGGAAAGTCGACGTACTGCGATGGCATGCAACAGTTCATGAGCGCGATTGAGCGCAAATGCTCAGTTGTCAACCTCGATCCTGCGAATGATCACACTGCGTACGAGCCCGCCGTAGATGTTCGCGACCTGGTGACAATAGACGAGATCATGGAGCAAGAAGCACTCGGGCCTAATGGAGGAGTGCTCTTCGCACTTGAAGAGCTCGAACACAACTTTGACTGGCTGGAGGAGAGCTTGAAGGAACTCGGAGGTCCGCAACACCATGAATGATCATCGCTTGCAATATCGTATGCTAAGTAAGGCACAGACGAATATATCCTGTTTGATTGCCCTGGTCAAGTCGAGCTCTTCACACATCACGGCTCACTGCGGAACATCTTCTTCCGCCTTCAAAAACTGGGGTATCGAGTATTCGCCCACCACCCATGGCCTGTAACCTAGAGCTAACCTGCTCCAGCTTGTCGTCGTACACTTGACTGACTCCATCATACTCTCACGACCTTCCCTATATGTCTCGTCGTTGCTCCTCGCTCTGCGCAGCATGCTGCAGATGGACCTCCCACATCTCAACGTTCTTACCAAGATCGATAACTTGCGCAATTACCCTAATCTACCTTTTAACCTAGACTTCTACACCGAAGTACAGGACCTGCATTATCTGCTACCATATTTGAACCGCGAGCAAACATCTGGCATCCCAGGGCCGACGACAGCTAGCAAAAACACCGACGAGATCATGAAGGACGCCGATGACGAGGAACCGACATCAAAGTTCTCGGCGCTGAACAAGGCCATTGTGGAGCTAGTGGAAGACTTTGCGCTTGTGGGATTCGAGACACTCGCAGTCGAGGATAAGAAGAGCATGATGACTCTCCTTCGGGCAATTGATCGAGCGGGCGGCTTTGCGATGGGAGGAGTGGAGGGCGTCAACGACACAGTTTGGCAGATGGCGATGCAAGAGACCGGCGCTACGATGGACGCTCGAGATGTACAAGAGCGATGGCTGGACAGACGGGATGAGCTGGATGAGGAAGAGCGAAAGGCCTGGGAAGAGGAGTCGAAGGAATTGCGCGGCCCACCTCTACCAGAACCACGGAAGTGGCCTGAGGATGCGCCACGTAGATCGCAACCTCCAGACAAACCGAAGGACAAGGATGGTGATGACGATATGGATGATCTAGAGGAGATGCGTCAATTCATGGAGAAGAAAAAGAAGGAAGACGGGATCAACATTGTGAGGAAGTGAAAGGGGGAGGTGCATGTCAATTCCCAACAGCCGACCGACGCACATCAAAGACAAAGGTCGATGTGGAGATAGATCTTGCGTGAGCCGAACTGGGGTGTGTTTGATGAAGCAACCGTCGAGACATGTCGAGCAAGTCCTCAGTAGATGGAAACGACATGTGGCGTATAGCTCAAGAATTTGAAGGGTGCTACTACTCGACAACTCACGCCCCAAAATGAAGCTTTAGTGACTTCCATGTCTTGGAGGCCTGTGTATACCGTAGGCCTCGCACCCGCAGCGGGGTACTCGCGCTCAAACAACGCGTCGCGTATCCGGGTGAAAGCTTGTCGCGCTCGGGTTGCAGCATCGCAGTGAAAGCAACCCATTGCTATCACCCTCTTGATATAAATCATGTGCTATTCTCTGCTTGCCTGGCCATCATCTCGCTTGCCAAACTTGCAATCATGTTAAAACGAAAACTCTCGACCGAAGGGAGCGGCCCCCACGTCTCTATCTTTGCGGATGACCCCACGCTGCAGCGTCATAGCAGTCGCAAGCGCCTCTTCCGAACTAAGAAAGACAGACAACGAACCTGGACACCAACCAAGGAACGCGATATGAGCCAACTCCTCGAGTATATACTAAAATATGAAGAGGCTTTCCAAAAGTACGCTTCCGCCCTTGCAGTGCTTGCGACAGCGCCTGCAGTCATGTGCTAATCCCTTACCTACAGCCAGCACCGCCTCCCGTCGCTATATGCGGACTTTGGGCAGCAACTCGAAATAAACCCCGATGGATACCATGCGAACATTGCAGTATGGATCAAAGCCCTCACCGACGCATCGCGAGCCGGTGCTATCCCTGCGCAGGGCAGCACCCACGATCTCCTGAACATCCGAGCCACAGACGAACTGGCGCTTGCTCTACAACATCCCCAACATGGCAAGCCTAGTTGCCTACCAGTGGTGTTCAACGAGGCAGTACAAAAGAAGGAGATGATACCCTTGAAAGAATTTGCAAACTCCAAAGAGAGCATATATAAGACTTCCTGGATACCATCGCCCTGGAAGGTACTGCAGTGGAGCCTGCGTCAAGTCGGCGTACTAGGACAACCTCAGCCCAACCAACTGGCTGCTGGGAACTTTGTGGTTGTCAAAAATGTCGAGATTGCTGCCGATGAGGTCTTGAAGAGTATGAAGGAGCTGACCTCGACCGCGGATCGAGTGCTTTCGAAGGCAGATTTCTTGAAGCGTTTCTCCAACGTACTTAACCCGGCTGTGCCGTTGACGACAAATGATCTCGACATCCTGCTTGTATTTCTTGCACGCGACAAACAGGCGATTTCCTACAACAACCAGACTATCAAGTTCAAGCCTGAGCATGAGGCTATCCCGCTTCCCGTGACTACAGATGACACTGCTATTGCCAATCTTCGGGACACCTTGGCGAACATCAACACACAACTTCTACCTCTTATGGAGAAGGTCGCTGCCGCTGAAGCAGCAGCCCGCGAAGCAGTGGCTAACAAACAGATGGTTCGTGCCAAAGCCGCCCTCCGCTCTAAAAAGCTCGCCGAGGGTGCCCTCGCACACCGTACAGAGATTGCCCATCAACTTGAGAGCGTCTACAATGATCTCCATCACGCAGCAGATCAAGTGGAGATTGTGGAGGCTATGCGCGCTGGTGCTGCTGCACTAAAAGGCCTGAACGAGAAGGTTGGCGGTGCAGAAGGTGTCCAGGGTGTTGTCGATGCTGTCAACGAGCAGATGGCGCTCACAGAGGAGATCAGCGGCATCATCAATGAGAATAACCAGCCAATCGACGAGATGGAGATTGAGGATGAGCTCGAGGCCCTTGAGAAGGCTGAGATGGAGAATGAGAACCAGCTCATCGCGGAGAGGACTCATGCGCGCATCTCAGAAACATATGAGCTAGAGCAGCAACTCGCACAGAAGGTGGCTCAAGAGCAGCGACGCGCAGAAGAGGAGGCACGAGAGAAGGAACGCATAGAGAAGGAGATGGAGCAGCGACATCGGAAGTTCATGGTCGAGCGAGCACGAATTCGAGCCGAGCGTGCTGAAGGAGAACAAGCGATGGACGAGACGTCGGCTGACCTGTCCAAGCTGTCGTTCGCACAGGAGAATGAAGACGACATGGGAGATGAACAGGAGGAGAAGCGCGTCCCTGCGCACGCATGAAGCGTTCCATTGAGCCGCACTTGACATTTGCGGGTTTTGCATAGCACTGGCGCATGGGTTTGGGAATGGATAGGCGTATGGGCAGACGCAGCGTTAGCACGCAGTACTATTTCATAAGCCAACTCTAAGGGTTCACTGCAGCATTCACGAATGCACTTAATATGACATTATACTTGGCGGAATATAGGTCTTTGATGACTCTCCATTCGCTGAACATATCTTTCTTGGAGGTCGCATTGGTGTGCTACTGTCTGACATTGTTGCAAGATTCAGCAACGAGCTTCGCACATCTCGGTATTGCAGGTAGGTGATCCCTTGTTCTTAGCATATCGGTGCCGTTCCGTTCGAATATCAATCCTTTGGGTCGCAAAGGGTCCTAAACTTCCCTAGGTTTCACTTGATTTGACTTTCTGCTCTCCCTCGACGCTAAACTCAATCTAGCCCCGTACAGATGCCACTCCGCCAAGCCCTCGCCATCCCAGCAACCTCACCACCAGACCCTCCACCGCTCTCAGCACCTACACCCCACGATAATCTCTTCCTACGGGAACCTTCTGCTGCACCTCGGAAAGTATCCTGCATTATCCGGCACATCTCGCGTACCAATGCAGTCCTTCCGCAGTGCCACCCGCGCCGCGCGCACCCTCGGAACCATCCGCACACCCGCCAGCACCCTCCGCACCCCCGTCCGCGCCTTCTCACAGTCCCAAATCGTAAAGGGAGGACACGAGACTCAGTATGATGCGCCAGGTGGATGGCTGTTTGGCGTCAAGCCCGGCGAGCAGTATGAGAAGGAGGGGTGGGAGGGCTTGATGTACTGGGGTTTTGGCGGTTGTATTGCATTTGCGGTTGTTGCTTATGCTTTCAAGCCTGACACTAGGTACGTTCTTGAAATATGGAATCGCGCCGGAAGGGAGGGGTACATATGGAGACGAAGGAGGATAGGCAGTGTGGAGGAAAGGGTTGGTGGGAGTCATCGCATGATCGGCTAGGAGCAGAGCAGTGGCAATGTGCAATCATGTGCGTCAAGCTAACGATCTACACAGCATCCAAACCTGGGCCCTAGAAGAAGCACGACGAAGACTCGAAGCAGAAGGCATCCTTGTCGACCCGGATACCGTCAAGAAGGAGTAGAAAGAAGATGCTTGCAACCAGTGGAGGGGATCTGATAGACGACTTGAAAGACAGGCGGAGATCAGGGATAAAGAATCGATTCAAAGTGTATATACGCTAGCAACGACGACCAGTCCGCGAAGGGGTATTTCTTATGTGTGTGGTATCGATTGACTTGTGCTTCATGGTTAGATAGAGTTGAAGCACCAACGGCTTGATGCCGATGTTTTTGCAATGGCATTTGTTTTTTGGAAATTGGCAATCTTGGCTCTGACTCTGGGTGATATGAGATTCGACCATGGAGTTTATAAAGGCTATAGAAATAGTACGGTTTGTCGACCCCCTTAGTCAAATTGACATGGAGAAAGGACGCAAATCACTTCGTGAATGCCACCAACACCGCGAACAAAAATAAGCTACCGGGTAACTAATCAATGTTATCAAACAACAAACAGCATTTTCTTGACATGACATGACGTCCAAACTAAACAACTCGTGACGCATCCCCAATCACCCAGCCTCTTAGGTAACCCTTCTAGGCAACCGTGGCGTCCACACTCACCAGTGACACCATCCTGGACCCCACCACCCACCACCTAATCCCAGACTGACCCATACAAACCCCATCGCCACTTCTCCAAAACACACCACACTGTAGATACATATCCTATAATTCGTCAAGTGTTCAGGAAAGTAGCTAAAAACAACATCGATGACTAGACAAAGCTCCCCTGAGGTGATCTTTCGCCCTGTGGACTGTTGGGTCGAAGATCTCTTTCCTTTTTGATTTTTTTTGGATGCTGGGGTTGAGGCATGAATGGTGAGGTTTGGTATTTGATATTGGTTGTAGGGTTAGGGGGTCGAGCTGGGGTGGAGATGATGTTTTGTTTCTTTTGTACCCGGGAGGGGCGTTTAGATAGTTGTTTAGTGTGGCCGTGTTTCATGAGTGCAGGCAAGATTTGAATATTATTAATTTCTTGAGTTAGTGATACTCAAATATTTTGTTCTGATAAATAAAAATTAGTCACATAGTACTTCTATAGAAGTCCTTGCTCAAAGGAATCAGGATGGTATCGATCCAAGGAGGTGGAAATCTGGGGTACCAATAATTTAGCGTGTACACGCATGCGCCAAAGCGCGTCATCCCGTTCCCAATGTCAGCTCGTCAGCCACAGTTACGCGCATAGGCCTTGATATGAATTGTCGTCTCATGATGAACTGGCCACTTTACACTGGTTTAAATGTGATATCTACATTGTAGCACTTGAGAAAACAAATACTATTCCGCGGGAGCATTGGCTATGCCACCTCCATCCTCTCACACGCTGTACGAATCAGGCTCCCTTGGTACCGATGACAGCTCGCCCAAGTTCACACCCTCATCACGCTCTTCGCATTCGTCCGATGGTCTGGCTGTGACCGACGACCCAGATTCATATGAATTACGTCCAATCACGCCTCGTATCGAACCGGCCATCAATGATGATGATGAAGAAGAAGAAGAGGGGGCGTTTCTGCATAGTACTCGGCGTGCATCAATGGACTCGGCGCAAAGCTACGAGCTATACACACCTGATGAGGACAGGGTTGTATTGAGGAAGCTTGACATACGACTGGTCGGCTTCATGGCCCTGCTTTACAGCCTGAATTTTCTGGATCGGTCAAGTGAGTGATCTTGGTGTACATGGATATGCACATTGGTGTCGTTTCTCGGCTGACCATATATGGCAAGATATTGGGAATGCACGTATTGCAGGGCTGGCTGATGACTTGAATCTAAGTTCGAGTCAGTATCAGTGGCTATTGTGGGCCTTTTATATTACCTACATTCTTTTTGAATGGATGACACTTATGTATGTGGCCAGACCGAGCAGACCTTGGATACGACAGCCTTGCTCATGTCTCTTAGGTATCGTGTTGTGACGCCACATATTTATATTTCGCTATGTGTTCTGTCCTGGGGATTAATAGCATCACTGCAAGCGATAACAACATCGTTCGCTTCCCTGCTCGTACTTCGTGCACTTCTCGGCATCAGCGAAGCAGCCTTTGCACCTGGTCTCCCGTTCTACCTATCCTTCTTCTTTCGACGACATGAACTGGCTTTCAGGACAGGTCTAATCGTCTCCGCTAGCCCTCTCTCAGCATCATATGCTGGAGCTCTGGCATATGGAATCACCAAACTAGGCGAACAAGGGCCACTTAGTCCTTGGAGGCTATTGTTCTTGCTTGAGGGTTTCCCGAGTGTGCTCATTGCAGTCTGGGCTTGGGACTTTGTGCCTGACGGACCAGGTTTGGCCAAGTGGCTGACACCTCGACAGCGGGAAGTTGCAGTTCTTCGATTGAGACAGGAGAAGGATGGAGAGGCAGAAGACCAAGGAGACGAAAAGCAGTACAGCCGGAGTAAGCGGGGAAAGTTCAACATCCAGGAGGTGATTGAAACGTTCAGGGATCCAAAATGTTACCTCACTGCTTTGATGATGTTTTGCTGCAATGTGGCCTTCAGTAGTATGCCAGTCTTTTTGCCTACGATTGTTCAAGAGATGGGATGGGAAAGCATCACAGCCCAAGGGCTAACAGCACCGCCATATCTGTTTTCTTTCGTCGTGGTCTTGACGACGGCCTACTACTCAGACCGTCTGCAACTACGCTCTACCTTTGTTATACTACATTCCGTGGTTGCGACGCTCGGCTACGGTACGATAGCCGTGTCTGGCTACTACAAGTCAGAAAACACGACTCTACGGTACATAGCGCTATTTCCGGCAGCTGCAGGCTTCTTCTCGGCCATCACCATTATCATCACATGGACAATCAACAACCAGGAAACCGACAGCAAGAAAGGCACTGCCATGACGATTATGAATGTCATCGGACAGACGGGACCTCTCGTGGGGACTAGTATCTTCCCTGACGAGGATGGTCCATATTATGTCAAGGGTATGAGTATCTGTGCTGGCTTCATGTTACTTGTTGCGTTCCTTGCAGCCTTGCTCAGATGGGTGTTGAAGAGGGAGAATAGGCAGATGAGGGACCAAGGAAGCGGAGGCGGTGAGTACGCAGGTGTGCCACTTGATGAGGATGCACGGGTGAGACGCGAGAGAAAGAAATTTGTATTCATAATCTAGGCGGAATGACAATATTTATGATAGTATCTGCGGTGATTTATCAATTTGTCCTGCGTAGAATGCTCCTAAGAGCAAAACAT